TTCTTGGCCCAGTCTTGACTTTTCTCAGTTCATGGGCAGTTATTTTGTGCCTTGGTTTTTCCACACGCTTCTTGCGACCCTGTTGACTATTTTGAAAAAAACGCTTGATTGTTCGATGATCACGCTTCAGAAGCTTTGCAATTTTGAGACTGCTGCATCCCTCTGCAAGATATCTCACTATTTTTGACTTTTCTGAGCCTGTCAAGTCCTTCTTTTGACCCATTTTGCCAAAGGAAAGGAAGTTGCCTAATAATTATGCACACCTGATATAGGGTGTTGATGTCATTAGACCACACCCCTTCTCATTACAGAGTTGCACATCACCTAATATGCTTAATTGGTAGTAGGCTTTCGAGCCTATACAGCTTGGAGTAAGACAACATGCATGAAGAGGATGATGTGGACAAAATACTCATTTGCCTAATAATTCTGCACTCCCTGTATGTGCTGTCATTTAACATGAAGTTTTATTTGATATTCTTTTCACTTACGATGTATGTATTGTTAAATAAGTTAAAGCAATTTGTTTTGTTCAAACAAAACAAATCTCCACTGTCTTCTGGGCATTCAGCACCAGGTTGTTGTGGCTGCACCAGGACACCAGACGTTCAACCTCCCTCCTGTAGGCAGACTCATCCCCGTCCGAGATGAGTCCAATAACGGTGGTGTCATCTGCAAACTTGATTAGCTTGACAGACTGGTGGGTGGAGGTGCAGCAGTTAGTATACAGGGAGAAGAGCAGGGGAGAAAGAACACAGCCCTGAGGGGAGCCGGTGCTGATGGTCCAGGAGTCCGAGACATTCTTTCCCAGCCTCACATGCTGTTTCCTGTCCATCAGGAAGTCAGTGATCCACCGGCAGATGGGATCAGGCACATTCATCTGGGAAAGCTTGCCTCGGAGATGGTCTGGAAGGATGGTATTGAAGGCAGAGCTGAAGTCCACAAACAGGATCCTGGCGTAGGTTCCTGGGGAGTCCAGATGCTGCAGGATGAAGTGTAGGGCCATGTTGATGGCGTCATCTACAGACCTGTTGGCTCTGTATGCAAACTGCAGGGGGTCCAGGAGGGGGGCCGTGAGGGTCTTGAGATAGGAGAGAACCAGGCGCTCAAAAGACTTCATGACCACAGATGTCAGAGCCACGGGTCTGTAGTCATTTAGTCCAGTGATCCTGGGTTTCTTGGGGACAGGGATTATGGTAGAGGACTTGAAGCAGGCAGGCACATGACATGCCTGCAGTGAGGAGTTGAAAATGCCAGAAAACACTGGGGCCAGCTCGTTTGAGATATATAAATAATGTCTTAATAATCATGTGCTGAGTGTAATGAAGGTTTGTGGGAATGATATAAATACAACTTTGGAAAGACTGATTGGCTGGTCAGTTTGAAGAAGTTGTATGTTACCAGCGGGATAGGAGGGACTAACATGAAGTTAAAACAGTGAAAGAGGAGTCAAGATGGCAGTTTTCAAAGGTTTATTTCCTGCTAGTTTTAAAGTTCTGGTCCAGACTGACATTTTGGACTTTCGTTTTGGATAACAGTCAAAAACAGAGGTAGTCACAGGAAGAGTAAAACTAGTATTCTCCATGGTAGGACAGTCTTTAGTATGAGCAACACCAAATAATTGTGAAGAGGAATAAGACAGTCTGAGGAAGGCGTCTTTGGTGGCTTAATGACTGCACCTCTGCTAATGGGATTGCTGATGGCTGCCCCACCAACAGTCATTTTGTTACTGTGTTTTGACAGGAGTATTCTCAGTCTTAGATATTTCATAATTGCGAACATTCTTTTCATAGCTGAGCCCATAAACCAGCAAATCAGGATCCGTTTGCATGGCCTCCATAGAGAAAATGTGACCAGCAAAAAATAGTCACCCACCTCACGCTGTTGTAAGCCGCGGTGGTGATGTGGATGGTTGTGGAGGCACCCCCCCACACACACACACACACAACACACATCAAAGTAACAGAGCTCTACTCAAAAGCAGGCAACAAACAATACTACTAACTCAAACAAACTGACCTACCTAAACAAGAAAAAGGGGAAACTTAAATAGTGGTCAAGACCCAAATTGCAGTTCTCCATATGGGCTTGCTCCATCCCTTTTCCACCTCTTAGCTTATCCAACAAGGGACTGGGAGCAGATTCCATTGAGGTAACTCAGAAAACAAAGACAGACTAAATCATAGACATAACAGTATAAACTAAAATTTGTGCACTTATTTTAGAATACAGTATTATGTGATTTTATAAGTAAATTAGTTCTAAACCAAAACCAATTCTTTATTACCCAGTAAATTAATTTACATATTTAAAGAAAGACAAATATGTAAGTGTAGTGTTATTGTACATCTTTAATGTAACACTGATGTTTAGTTGATATTACCACTGTATCTGGCTGTAATTGCAGCCGTCACAGCTGCTGTTAGCTGCTGTAATTTAGAATTAGCCGGCATTACTGAAACCTTCTTTTAAGTGGATCAAGCAATGTTGTACTTGGTCACTTAGTGACTTTCATACAATGTGAGAATATAATCAAATTGTTTATCAGAAGGAAAGCATGATTTTTTTCCAGCCAAAAATTTCCTGCTATAATGTTAGCTTATCACCCGCAGAGGTTTTTCTTATTTAGCAGGCTTGTTTTCAGCTGTCTTGAGACAAAAAGGTGTCTAATCTTCTGATAATAAGTCATTGTCACAATATCGGGAATAAATAAGCATGCATATGCAGTTATTTGTATGTTAGTTTCCTGACTTCGGTTAAGGTGAAAAGGTTAATATTTTATCTAGATGCCAGTTAGGTTGTTAGGACGTCTTCTCAGATGGTAAGAGATAGAAATGATCCTTCACATCTGGAGTCTTAAGGTGCAGACACAAATTAAAATTTGCCCCTACAGTAAACAAATGCCCACAAATTTTATTCTTCTCCTCATTTGGAATACAATGTATGTGGCTGGTCTCTAGCCAAAAGTGCAAATAAATAGAAAGGTGGTGCACACTTCAGCTAGTGTATTCAAGATGGTGGGGAAACATGGTGGTTTCCACTGGTAGCCATATGTAATTTTAAAGGGTTAATTCTAAGTTTATCAGAGTGCATCAGTTTCATTTTTCTGTTAAATAAACTAAAAAAAGAGAGAGCGATACATCCAACTTAGTTCACTGAATCAATTACAAAAATGATAATGGCTGCTTGTTGGTGGTGGGTTCACCTAAAGAATGAAGTATATGTCCATCTCTCTGACCTGTCTGTAATGTAAAATATAAATTTTGCATCAAAAGTAGTCTGTGCTGTGAGAAGAAGTTACAAAATTAAATTATTTAATTATATATATATATATATATATTAGGGGTGCAACGATACACAAAATTCACGGTTCGGTTTGATACTTTGGTGTCACAGTTCGATATTTTTTCGATACAAAAAAATGTTCATGCTTTTTTAATTTGTCATTTATTAAAATTATAAATATATATTTTAACTCAAACGTACAGTTTTTAAATTTAATGTTGCTGAAACAACAAGGGGATAAAATAATAATTCTATCTGATTGGGAAAACACTTTGGAAAAGAGAGTTTATTACAGAGAAATGGCTCTTTCCAAAATAAAAGCTATACTATATGCTTCTTCCAGGGGATACTCTCAGCAGCATATTAAATATATCAGGTCCCCATAAGGAGAATCATGTGCTAACGGCTGTCTAAATGACTCGGGTAAAGTTTGTAGCATGCATGCTTGTTGTTTTTGTCTGCTTCCACTTATCTTTGCACTAGGATGATGTCGGCATAAATGTGCAGTCATATTCATTTTGTTCCCACTAGTGCTGTCAGCGTTAATCTGAAATGACGTTAACGCCACAACATGGTAAATCTCCGTTAACGAGCTACCGCCAATCGCCCCGTGCATGGGGCTGGACGACGTCAACACGTTAACAAGCTAACTGCGCTAACACAGTAGTTCCCACCCATGTAATTGAGCATTGCGTGGCACATTCGACATACTGTTTTACTTTTGTCCATGACGTGCTTACCTTCAGGGTCATACTTCACATGAAGACCAAGATAGTTCCAAAGGCCAGATCTGAATGAGGGTGGGGGAGGTTCAATTTGCCATGTTGCAATGAGCTTAGCTCCTGTCTTGCTAGCTTGCGCTGCGCTCAGTGGATCTGCGCTCGACAGTGCAGCCCAGGCGGAGTAGTCGAACGCAGATCCACTGAGCTCGCTACACAGACAGCATCGTCAGAAGAAAAGTTGATCAAATAAATTAAAAATTTTGTATTGTTCGATACATATGCGTACCGAACCGAAAGCACTGTATCGAACGGTTCAGTATCGATACGAGCATCGTTGCACCCCTAATATATATATATGGGATTTCCAGTGGTGGCTAACCAACCGGACATAGTCAAACAGTAGTGATAGATGTAGTGGTTCCCAATGTCAGCAACATCAGGAAGAAGGAACACGAGAAGCTCAAGAAATACCAAGGGAGCACCAGGTGTGGTGACCAAACTAGGCGAGTGGCTCCAGCAGATCCCAGGAACAACATCGGAGATCTCTGTCCAGAAGAGCGCAATCCTAGGAACAGCTAAGATACTGCGCAGGACCCTCAAGCTCCCAGGCCAAGGACCCGAGCTTGAAAGATAGACCGCCAGCAGGGGCGAGCGGGAGAGGAAGTGTATATATAGACAAAAAGTGTTCTTACTGTGCCAGCATGTGTGCAAATGAACTCCCATGCAGTGGTCATTTCTACTGTTCTACTTGTACTCCAAGTATGACATACAGTAATTGGTTTCAGTTGAGTGTTGTCTGTGTATTCAAAGGCAAAGACAAATGCAGTCATAACCCAACAACAGTCCTGAGGTGTGCCAGGATTCAGGGAAATGAAAGCAGCATTTCATTCCTCTAGCTCTTAGTTTCCTGTTAAATAAAGAATTGCTTGTGCCAGTGGATTTTTACACAGTTCACACGCTCACAAAATGCTGATCGCCTCAGATACATAAGGACCCAACTGAGCCAGCAATACCAGTAAAATCATGGATCAAGCCTATATGGGCATGGAAGAAATATCAGGCAGCAACATAAAGTTGAGAAGGCTGGTAGAAACTTCAGAAGAGAATTATATCGATGATGAAGTGAGTCAAACTGTGCAATGTGAAACGACTGGACTTGGACTCCCAGGTAATAAACAAAAACAAGTAAACATATTAGATTTAGATACTGCATTGATATGTGATGATGAATTATTGTGCAGAAATAAAACAAAAAGTAAAACTAATACCGGGTAGATGTAGGGTCCGGTTTGCTGCAAAGTTACTGTAGTTTTGGATGTTTTGTTTTTAATTTTAAAGATTTATATTTTAAGGTATTTTTTTAATCTGTATTTGATTGTGCTGAAATGACTAGTTGACAGGTGACCCTTGGCCCATAATTTTGATTAAATTATAATTTTTGTTTTTAATTCAGGACAGGCTCAAACACATTCAGCGTGTGTTTATTTCAGTTCAGTTTTAATAGTTTAATAAACCAAAAATCTTTGGTTTTTATTAGTTTCAGTGTTAGTTTTTATTTATACTGTGGTGTGTGGTTGCCGGATTCTAAGTTCAAAAGAGAAAATAATACAATAAAATACTGTGCGACAATCACAGTATTTGTGTCACAGCCATAATCACACAGAAACAAGTTTGCTTCTTTGTGGTCAGATGTTGATTTCAAGAGCAGAAGTTCACATGTTACTTTGTAGAGAAAATAGTATTTTATGTTATGATAAACTATATGAGGATGTAAATATTCTTCACCTTTAGCATTGTAACAAATATAAACTTCTACCTGCAGAGTCTGAATTTGTAAAGAAGAGTTACTGCAGAGCTGCTGTGGTTCTTCTGGGTCTGCTGTGTCTTTTCCTCCTGACTGGACTCATAACTGTGGTTTTTCTCTGTGAGTACAAGAAATATGTAATTAGCATGCTAAAATCCTCACAGGCAATGTTTTTATTTGATATTGGCATGTCCTACAGTCACCCAAGGCAAATCTCCTGGTGAAATGGACACAGTGTTGCTACACAGTCTTTACAACAACTTGACCAGCGAGAGAAACCAATTACTGACCAGTTACAACAGGCTGACAACCGAACGAGAACAGTTACTGACCAGTTACAACAACTTGAAAACTGAAAAGGACCAATTGCTGACCAGTTACAACAACCTGACAACCGAACGAGAACAGTTACTGACCAGTTACAACAACTTGAAAACTGAAAAGGACCAATTGCTGACCAGTTACAACAACCTGACAACCGAACGAGAACAGTTACTGACCAGTTACAACAACTTGAAAACTGAAAAGGACCAATTGCTGACCAGTTACAACAACCTGACAACTGAACGAGAACAGTTACTGACCAGTTACAACAACAAAGTTAAAGAGAGAGACCAGCTCCAGACAAGATTTGAAGACATGACCAAAAATAGAGACAATCTTCAGAGAAAACTTCAGGGTAATTATTTGTTTCCATTTTATCTCGTACAGAAATGTTTTCCTTTACATTTGAAGTTAACATTCAAGTACATGACGGTGTTGTTGTTGTTTTTTTCTCATTTAATGCATTCTTGAATCACAGCGTTAACGATACTGGTTAAGACTTAAAGTGAAATTCAGTGTCCCTTAAACCATATTAACATCTGGACAGTTCCATACTATTAAAAAAGAAAGCCTCAGTAAAACCTAGAATTAAATGTAAATTAAGCTTAATGTGAATATATGAATATTTCATATGTTCTAAGTCTATTTAGATATAGCTCATACTGGTGCTTTAATCCATGTAGAGAAGGAAAAAAGATTCTCGTCATTTTTATCTTCAACTTCAACCAGTATGTCTCAGCTGTTTTTTTATTTCCATATTTAGTTGTGAAAGACACCTAACCAATGACAGAAATTTTAATACTGCAGTTTCAGTTCACAGTGTGTGTTATGTTAGAAATTACTAAAGCACCATGAAGCCTTCTAACTGAGAAGTGGACCTTGGACAAAACCTCGAGTTTCTCCTTATTTTCAGTGGTCAGTAACAGTTGCTGACTCAAGCAAAATCCTTAGATAAAATATATATTTCCCACACACTCCTTCTGAATGCACAAAAATGATGCATTTCTTTTTATGTTCTTTTAAAACACAAAACCAAAATAAACCTTTTTTATTTGATGTAAAACTAGACATATTGTGCAACAATAGGACAGTGTTTTTTTTCTTTCATATGTTAAAGCTTTGTGAATTTGTACAACTGACACTTGTGAAACAAATATGTGAGGCTAATTATGAGATATTAGCCTTAAAGATAAGATCCTAACAAAGCCCAAATTATTATTCTGTTTTTCTTAAACAGATTGCCAAGAACACTGGGTGGCCTTCAGTGATAGTTGGTACCAAGTGTCTTCGGAGAAGAAATCCTGGGAAGAAAGTAGACGAGACTGCCTTAAAAAAGGTTCAGACCTGATGATTATCAACAGCCGAGAGGAACAGGTGTGTGTGTGCAAACATAAATTAATGTACTATGTTCAGAATAAAACACTGAATGAAATCAGAGAATGCACTGACACATCACTTTAAGTTCTGTATATTTACACTTACTTGTCTTTCAACTAGAATTTTGTGAACCAGTTCAAGAAGTCTTTGTGGATTGGACTGACTGACTCAGAGACAGACGGAAGATGGAAATGGGTGGATGGGACTCGCATGACCACAAGGTTGAAATAAAAATTAAATTCCTCTCTTGTCCATAAAGTCTTCTTATATCATCAAGTACATTAACTAACTTAATTTAATTCATATCTTGTTACTAAAAACAAAAGGCTGACTGATCTGTTGAGTTTAACTCTTATAATTTTATCTGTATTTCAGCTACTGGAATAGTGGTGAACCAAATGGTGGCAGAACGGAAAATTGTGGACAGATAAAGGTTTACGACTCGCAAAACAGCTGGAATGATGAAACATGTTCCAATAAACACTTCTGGATATGTGAGAAGAGAATTTCTCCATAACTTAACATCCATGCCCAACAAATAGTGCAGAAAACAGAGCCATGAGATCAACTCCTGAAGTGAAGCTGAACAGAAAACAGTGGCCACTTAGGCTACGTCCACACATACACGGGTATTTTTGAAAACACAGCTTTTTCTATGCGTTTGGGCCTTTTGTCCACTGAAAACTGAGATTTTTTAAAACTCCTGCCAGGGTGGAGATTTTCGAAAAACTCAGTTTTTGCGTTTACATGTGGACGAGCAAAATGGAGATCTAACCACGCAACGTCAAAGGTGTGCGCCTTTTTTAACGTCAGATCTGCAGTTTTTACATGCTTACATATACACACGCAGTTGCTGCCCCTCCACTTGGAAAGACAGAGTGAACTTTGGACGTAGCTTTTACATTCAACACACTCTCACAACCTAAGTGTAATATTAAGGAATAATTCCACCTCACTGTCTGTCCACACATAGGACTCATTTCTGCTTCTATGCACCATCTAGACTTCTGATTGGCCAACATTTCGACACAGCATTATATCATAGAGATATTTTAATAAAAAGGAACGTGTGGAAGATGATTTTTTTTTTTATTAAACGAAAATGGAAAATCTCCACTAACAAAAATACCCGTCTATGTGTGGACATAGTCTTAGATGGAAACAAGTTTAAAGGGTTTTCGCTTTGCTTTCTAAATCAAGAATATCTTTTGTTACTATATCCAGGATCTTTAATCAGCCGGCGATCTGCTTTGGTGTGACTGGTCATGACAATTTTAAGACGTGTTAGATTAAAAAACTTGCTCAACAATCCCATGCTCAAAAATTCTCATCTTATAGAAAAATATTCTGTTATCATAAACTTTCCATCTGTATTTACAATTTAATCATTAAAATGTTGACAATTTGGACTTGTTTTACTCCACCTGACTCATTTATTGAGGAAAGACTGAAGATTTAGGAAAAAATCCTCTCAGTGTGCTGTGCAAAAATGCAAAACCCAACCCAAGTTTTCGCTCTCATGTATTCATTTCTAATATTGTTCATCCTAGTCCTAGTGAAAGTCTTAACATATACAGCTCTGCCTCCCATGTTTTTGTTAGTGCAAAAACCATAACCTGAACCATACATCACAGTAGGCCTGCTGCCATCTTGTAAACCTTCCCTTTCACGCTTCCTGCTATTCTTCTGTCCCAAATCACACCTGACACTGATCTCCACTCACTCTCCAGTGCACTCTGAATTGTTAAACCCAGGAATTTAAACTCATCTATCTTTACTACTTCTACTCTTTCTATCCTCACTCATTCTGTCTTACTTGCATTCCTCTTCTCTCTAGATTATGGCTCCACCTCTCAATAGTCTCTTCCACCTGGTCCTGCTCTCACTACAGATAAGTATCGTCTGCAAACATCATTGTTCACAGAGACGTCTGCCTGACCTGATTTGTCAACTTGTCCATCACAACCGCAAACAAGATCTCTGATGATGGGCTCAGAGTAGATCTCTGATGCCCTCCATGCCCACCTTTAACCCGTCTGTCACTCCTATTCCACTCCTCACGACTATCTCACTGTCCCACATTACCCTTTGTTCTTCTCTGCCACTTCTGACTTCGTGCAATACCTCAGCTCCTCTGTTTTTTCTAAATTCATAAAAGACACAGTGCACCTCTTCTGACTTTCTCCATACCGAGAGAAGCACTCTCACAGCAAACATCAGCCTGTAGTGCTTTTTCTTGGCATAAAGCCATACTCCTGCTTGCTGATCATTATGTTGCTTAAAGATGGTATGGTTCATCAACTTTATCCCTATTCAATCTTTTTTCTTGCAAGTACCCAACAATCAATAAATGCATCCAAGTATATAAATTTACTGAATATTTTTATTCAGTAAACTTGTATACATCAATAATAAACACAGTTGAGACAATTAAAGCAGTAGTGTTATTCATCTGATTTATCTGCACTGGTTTTTATTTTGGATCAAAGTAAGAGTCATTGTACTACAACTATTGTAAATAGAAAAACTATTTAATCATTTTGAAAGCAGCATGCTAGGTTACCATAATGATAATAAAAGCTGAGCTGCAGTGGTTTCTGATTGCGTCCAAGCTGCAGTAATACCACTTATTGTGATATGTAGGAGGAAAGAAAGTTAATTATAGTGCATATAGTAAATGAAAGCTTTTGACCGTACTTCAGCCAAAGTAAAAAAAAAAAGCAATTTAAAATTAAAATTACAGAAAGAGAATTTTTCCAGGATAACAATTCTGTAAAAACAAAAATTTTGCATACAGGAAGCTTAAACTAAAGCATTAACTTCAGGATTAATGCTGGGTTTTCAGTAGTGCTCTGGTTTTACTGAACATACTTCATAGTGCATGCTACAGCTGGAACTTGTTTGTATTGAGTTTTAATAGTTTAAATAGCACTTTCCTGTTTAATAGACAACCACTTGTGCTAGTGGATATTTGGAACTACAACTTGCAAATTCAGAAACTCACAAAACGCTGTTCACCTCAGATATCTGAACACCCACCCACCTGAGTTAACAATGCAGATTCAAATCATGGATCAAGGCTGTACAAGCACAGAGGAAATATCAGGTGGTCAGAAAAAGGAGTTCAGAAGAGTAAAATAATACATGTAATGACTGGGACCCACACACTGTTATTGTGCATGTTTATTGCAGTTGCACACATATTGTTAGAGAGTTATCTCTAGGATGCCAGTGCGATGGCTTTCTCAGGACAAGGATTCTTTCCAGATATACTTTAAGGAGCATTAACTGGTTGAACAGCAGGCCAATAGGTACAGCAATTGGCATACTCAGTGAGATAGTGATGTGTCGCAGCTGTTCTGATATTCTACTTATCTATGTGATGTACTTCTGTATGTTTTATCTTTTACGGCAATTTTTACCTCTACATTTGAAGCTAACACTTTGATAAAATGATCTTTTTATCATAATTGTGACATAAAGCAGACATGATATCTCATTTAATACAGTGGTCAAAATAGAGTATTAAACATCTCAGGAAAAGCCTTTGATAAAAAAAAAAAAAGTCCCAGTTCATACTATTAAAAAAGAAAACTTCAGGAAAACCTCAGAATTACATGTAAACTGAGAATAATGTGAGTGAAAATATTAATTTCCCATACATGAGTTAAAACTGAAGTAGATCTGAACATCTCATCTGTTCTGTATTTCCATGTTTAGCTGGAAAACACACAACTTAGTTCAGGAATGTTAATAAAGAGAGAAGTGGACCTTCGAGAAAAGCTCACTTCTCTCTAACTTGACCTCCAGCTTTTTCTGAATTTTCAAAACCTGTGGTTTTCAGCCACAGCGGCTATTGTACTGGATTCTTCTGTGACCTCCTGGATAGGGTTCTCTATTTGTGGGAAATGTCTCTCACCGCAGTTTGAGGGTGTCCCGAAGCCTTTGAAATTGTTTTGTAGCCCTTTTCCAGACTGACAGGGATCAATGACTTTGTTTCTCATCTGTTCTTGAGTTTCTTTAGATTGTGGCATGACACAGTTCATACTAGTACTTTAACCTGAATAGACAAGAAACAACCTTTTGAGGTTTAACTGACTTCTCAGCTACAACTGAGATAATTCATGATGTCTCAGCTTTTCTATATTTAGGATAAATGTGGAAATGTTAATACAGCAGTTTCAGTTCATGGTGGGTTATGCTAGAAATGACTGACCCTTCAAAGTAATAAGTGGACAAAAGTTCACAAAAGTTATTGTAATGCAAGCTCACTTTAATTATTTGGTAAACTGCAGTTTTGTGGGGCAATCATGGTAACCAGTTTGACTGAGGAATGCATCTCAGATTTTGGGAAGTACCCCTCATATTTCTTTAAAACTGGAAAGAGGTCATTAATCAGCATATGTAGCTAATCTAAAGCATAATTAAAAAACTGCAAAGCAAAGAAAAATGTGTTGCACTCACAGCTGTCCCAGTGAGTGGTGAGTTCATTGCACTTTTGCACCAAGAGAAAATGTCTCTCCTGTTTGTTTATTTATTTGACTCAACAATATGTCAGATATTTTTCCACTTTTACAATTGTGGCTTTACTTGAAAGCTTTTTCAGTGGGAGTGGGATAGCAAAGTGGCTTTAGCCAAATTTGCCATCCACCCTTGGCAAATTTGCACCCTGCCCATTGTGATATAACCCTTTAAAGTTCACCCAAAAAGCATTTGTTCAACTTTTCTCCTTTGAGTACTGAGAAAGAAGATGACCATCCAGTGAACTAATACTTGCTCCTGTTATGCATCACAGTTATTAAAGCAGTGGAATCTGATATTGAAACTACGATATCTGCTCATGATGTTTGCCAGGAAGAAAAAATGCATGACTTTAGATTCAAAACCTGAGACTTATAGGTTTGGTTTATTAATTTACTTTAAAAAAAAAAATCATTAAATGTGTTCTTTTTCTGCCTTAAAAAGTGTGGGGGAGTTAAAAAAAAATGAAAAATGCTGGATAGTTTTTGTTTCTTACAGTATGAAGGTTAAAACTGTCGTACAAACAACAAACAAATCCTCTGATTTTGAAAAGGTCCAGTGGCAACCTCAGATTTGACTGATTTTACAGGGAGCGGCACAATGCTGTTCAAGTAACTTGCCTAAAAACTTTCATTTGTCACAATTTAGCGTTTGAACCAATGAATAAGTGTAAAATAGAAAGGTATTCTAAGAGCATGTTCACATGGTTGTCTCCTAGTTTTTCATGACAGTGACAGTAAATATCTACTGTACCACTTTATTTTTATAAAGCCTTACTCTACTCTCAGATTTATTCGTTTTATATTCTACTGTCTAAAGCAAAAGAACATTTACTACAATAACAGTAAATGTATGAAGAGATAAATGTATTTAAATTTTTTGGACTTTGGATATTTTTGACAAATATCGATTCTACCTCCAAATTCAAAATTTGTAAAGAATCAATTAATTATTTTTTAAAAGCTTTCTGGGTTGTGTTGGGTTCTGCTCAGAGGAATGCAGCTTTCTCCAAAAGGTTTGAGCTGCACTTTATTAAAAGTGCTTGTATTTGAGCTGCTCGTTTGTTAGAATAGCAATCAGTTTTAATTTCTAATTCATTTTGTTGTTTTTCAATTGTAATGGTATTCATCATTGAACAAGAAAAAAATAATCCACCCTGTCTAAAAGAAAGTATCAAAAAATGGGTGTTAAAGAAGTGATGTAATGAGTCGCCCTCTTGTGGTGGGTTTGATTTGTGATTAGATGTTTAATGTCAGGAAGATGGGTGCATGATCACTATGAGCAGATTGTTGCATTTACTTACTTGCTGTGAGATAAAATTACTGAGGAAAAGTTCTGAAGGAAAGAGGACAAGTAAGTGTCTTCTCTGGAAGAGGAATTTCTCACCTTATCCATAATTAATGTTTTTTTTATTATGTTTGCAAATATTATGTCTCCAGATTCTTGAACTACCGAATGAGTTTGAATGGTGAGCTAACGATAATTAGAGTCTCTAACTAGTAAACTCTGCTGAATGGCACTGTGATAAAAATTATGCATGAAAGATGGGAGTTTTTGAGAATGTGGATAGTTTAATTTTAGAATAGAGACTTTCATTTATAAACACTGGCAATCCGCCCTGTTTACCACTAAATGGTTGAGAGAATATTTTGTCATACTTGCAGATCTTTTGCTTTTTGTGGATTTGTGATGCAAACACAATTTATTTATCCTTTATGAGTGAATAACATCATCACAGGCATGACCAAAAGAAAAAAACAAGGAAAAAAACATTCTCAATTGTCAACAGTCTTTTGTCATTTTAAATTTGCCTTTTTATATTTGATTTTTCTACATTTATTTGAAATATATCAGTTCAGGAGCGAATGTTCAGAATTTAGACTTCAAATACAGGAAATTTTATTACAGCAAGTTAGCGAGAGCAATGCAAAACCAAAAGCAAATAGTAAAAATCACAAAACCGTAATCAGCCTACTTCAGCTATACTGAGCTAGTTAACCTTCTCTGAGCTAATGCTGATTTTGTTCTTGTCTTTTGTGAGGAGAGGTTTGAGAAAGGATGAGCATGTCTGGATCCAAAGATGCACTTATCCCAGTGTTCCTAGTTGATGATAATTACTCAACAGGGAAGCAGCACATAATCCAATTTTTCATTTATATATTGATAAAACGTATTCTTCTATTTATCTTTTAATAAAGAACAAAAATGTTTTGTAATTAGAAAAAAATTTAAAGACTATTTTGCCTCAGTCAAAATCAGCATCACTCAGACTTTAAGCTCAATTTAAGATGAATATGACATAAAAACACAAAGAAATCAATCAGAATCAGAGAAGAAAAGAAGACCAAATCAATCAGTGTCACCAACGAATGTGTTCTTAACACAGACTGCTACATATAAAATCATTTTTCTACTCAATGTGATTAATGGGAGGGATGAGGAGAGGTGCAGAGTTTTTGCCATTGTCGTTATTACAGGGATTGAAGTATGGGTAGAGTTTCTCAGTGAAGGAGCAGCCAGTAAAGGAGTAGATAAGAGCTGCTGCATCTATATCATAAAAGGAAACCACACCCTCCTCGTAATCTACAAACACTCCCACCTTCTCAGGACCAGACGGACGACAGACACAGACATCATGTTCATCGAGAGCTTTGTACTCATTTCCATTTCTCAGCACTACAGTCCAGAATCCATCCTCGGGACTAAGAGTCATTATTTTCTTCCTGTCGATCGACTCTCTGGCCACTCCCAATTCCCAGTCAGTCTTTCTTTTAACTTGAGCCTCATAGTAAAATCTGCCTGAAGAGAAACCCTGCTTTCCTAAAACACAAACACAGTAAGAAAATCTCTCCGGGTTGTCAGGAAGATTGTGCTTTTCATCTCCATGATTCACTTGTTTTCCATCATCAGACAAGATGAGCTCAGGATGTGCTGTATCAGCATCAAGACTCACATCCACAGCATACTGCTGGACCCTCCTCAGCTCAGCCTCAAACAGCTTCTTCATTTCTATCCTCAGTGTCTCCTCCAGCTGAGCCACAGCTCTCATCACAGTCCCCTCATACGTTGGTGGAAGGACGATGACCTCAGTCCAGTCCTTGGCAGGTGGAACAGCTTTCAGAGATGAGAAGCTTTGAATAAAGTGGAGGTGGTCTTCAGAGCATATTAGATTCTTCACCTCAGAGCTCCTCTTCTTCAGCTCTGAGATTTCCTGTTCCAGCTCTTTGATGAGATCTTCAGCCTGTTTCTCTGTTGTTTCCTGTTTGTCTTCTATCTCCTTTATGACCTTCTTCAGGTCTTTCTCAATAAACTCCTTCAGAACAGTGAAGATCTGAACACCTTCTGTTTTCTGTTTGTCTGCAGCATCTTTACTCATCTTCACTGACTCATTGATCTCCTGAATCTTCTGTCGTCTCTTCTCGATCATTTGCTGAATTTCATCATCCATTTTCCTCAGCTCTGTCTTCTTTTCTTCAGATTCTTCTCTCAGAGGTACAAACTCATGAGTCTTGTGGTCTAAAACAGAGCAGAGCGTGCAGACACTTGTCTGATCGGTCTTACAGAACAGCTCCAGATGTTTATCGTGCTTCATACACATCCTGCCTTCCAGGTTCTCCACAGGCTCAATCAGCTGATGTCTTTTCAGACCTTTGACTGTCAGATGAGGTTCTAGGTGAGTCTCACAGTAGGAGGTCAGACACACCAGGCAGGACTTCAGGGCCCTCAGTCTGGTTCCAGTGCAGATGTCACAGGGAACTTCTCCTGGTTTGGCAGCTTGTTGCTCTGCGCTGCTCCTCTTGGCTTTCTGTTGAGTTTCATCTCTGAACTGAGCAACCACCTCAGAGAACAAAGTGTTAACCTTCAACAGAGGTCTACAGTAGAAAGCCTCTTTGCACATGGGGCACTGACAAGGAGCATTTCTATCCCAGTGCTGAGTGATACACTTCTTACAGAAGTTGTGTCCACATGGTGTGGTGACTGGATCAGCGAACACATCCAGACAGACGGAGCACAGAAACTGATCTTCAGATCGCAGATTACTGGCAGCAAACATATCTGCACTCTGGGAACAAAAGTCAAAGCATGATGAGTTAAAGTCTAACGATTTTCTGTGAGTGGTTTAGAACTGTCGAAGTGGGATCATGACAGCAATTTCAGATGAGGCAAAGAACTTGAAAAAATCTTCAAGGTATAACTATCTTATGTTGCATGGAGTCCAAAAATCACAGAATCACATCAAATAATTTAAGAGTAGAGTAATCCACTGAGAGACATCACCTGCACACTCACTTTATGTTTCTACATGTAGAGCTTACTCACTAAGTGCTGCCGTTCACTACAATCTCCTGACTGGAGGACTCACCCCGAGCTAGTTTTAGGATTTTTAGAACTGTGTTATATCAATCAGGTCTAAGAAGTTAATCCCAGGACTTTATGTTTGTTTACAAGTTTAAATAAATTTCTCATGTTATCCTGCACTGTTTCAGATGAGAGTGTGACTATGTTTGGTTTCATAACCACTTCTTTAATTCTAGTCATAGTTTAGTCCATGGAAAATCATTCATCATCTCTCTTCAGCCGTTTTTTCCGGTAAAATATCTTTAATATATTTATAAAGCCATGCATATTCTTTTTTTTACTTCACACTTCCTGGTTCTTAAGTAAGTGGGGGTGAATTGGAATTTGGCACTCTTAAAGTTTCAAGATTTTTGCAGCAACTTTTAACACTCATAACTTCATATGGATACAGGAGGAGACTGAAGCATGCCGTTTTCAGCTTTAAAAAAATTACATTCAATTGAATTCTACACTGGTGTCATGATTTTTCTGTAGCATACTTTGAGGATCAGCATCGTGGGATATCAGGATATTAATAAATTGCACCAGTTTAATGTTGGTGATGTAGAGAAACAGAAACAAGTATCGGTACCCTGTACTTTCTATGTGTTTTCTGATCATTCACTGGAGGAAACTTAAAAAAGGCAATTCTGGCTACATTTTGAAGGCTTATGTCACCATGTGGTATAGGTGGTTGCTCAGTGTTTAAGGACAACACTTTCTCAGCATCTTTTCAACAGCAAATGTTGTAAAATCCAAAATATGTGATATAATTCCAAAAAATAAAAATCAGGTCTGCTTGTCAAATGCAAACAAAACACTATGCATCATGTGTAAGCTGACAGAAAAAAAGTATCACTTTAAGAGAAAAATTAGCTGATTTTGAATTTGAATTCAACAACATTTCTGAGACTTAAAAAAAGAAGGAGAAACATTCATGAGAGTTAAGTTTAATTTAATATAGATAATTAAAACAAACCACTGTAAAAAATGTACTCTTAAAATTTTAGCACTTACAGTATAAGTGAAGTTTTGAGTTAGTGTGGCTCGTTCTGTACTCACCAGTATTTGAGTCACTTGCTTAGAAACAAAAGATGAACACTGTTTGATTTTGAGACACAAATCCAGAGCTTTCGGCTGTAGTACTGCTATTACTGCTATTACTCACACTAACATTAAGTTTCATTTCAAGAATTTGACGTTTAATTTCCTATTATTTCTCCAACTCTTCCTGCAGGTGTTTGTTAAGGTTTTGGTTCCTCTTTCAGGTCCACAGATGATTATAAAGTGCTAGAAAAATGAAGGTAACACTCAATCACAGACTCAGTTAAATTCATAATCTTTCAGTCCTATTGAGGAGATACTAAGGCTGTTACACAAGAAGAGATGGGCAAGGATGAGTGTATAAACCCAGCAGTACCAAACTGTCAGAAACAGACTCTGTGAGGGTGGCATGAGGGACTGACGTCCTTTAGTGGGTCCTGTGCAGAGCCGTGCAGCTTGATTGACATTTAGTTGTGAACACTAGAACCAGCAGGTTGTCCAATGGTGTGCCGGTTGTCTTCACAGATGAAAGGAGGGTCACACTGAGGACATGCAACAGAAAGTCTGGACCTTCAACGTCTTCCACCATGACCAGTTTGACAGTATGCTGAGTAGGCAGTTCACTGGTGATCAAAGCACTGATGAGAGAGGATGCTGCAATTTGCATCAATGGAAAATAAATTTGACAGTCGTCTGCATAATAATGGAAGCAAATATTATTTTTCTGTAAAATTATTCCAAGTAGTAACAGGTACAAATAGAAAAGGACAGTTCCAAGAATAGAGCCTTGTGTAATCCCGCCAGAGGAGGGCAGCAGAGGTGTAGGTAAAGGTTCTATCAGAAAGGTGGGTCCTAAACCATTGGAGAGCTGAGCCAGTGATGCCCACCCACTGCTCCACCCTGGACACGCGGATCTCAAGGAACACAGCGTTAAAAGGCAGCTGTTCAGTCCAAAAGCACAAGTAGCACACAGTCACCAGAAGCTATTGCTAAAAAATATAACATTAAAAAAGCCTTAATAAAACATACTGATTGCTTTGGTGAGCTTTTAGTCCTGGCTGGAACACTTCCAGAATTGCACATTCACCCAGGAAGGACTTCAGTTGGGTAAAGGCAATTTTTTGTAGGAGTTTAGAAAAGAAAGGTAGCCTGGAGACAGCCCCTGAAACAAAACAGAATGGTCAAGGCCTGTTTTTTTTCAGCGAGAATTGCCCAAAAATATTTTTACAAAAGGTCAATGTACTGTTAATAATGGCAAGAATAAAAGGACCAAGGGTAGGAAAAACCTTCTTAAGGAGTTGAGGAGGAATAACATCAAAGGGGAATCCTGATGGGTTTATACTGGAAATGAACTGTTCTGATAAGGAGAGACAGGCTCAAAGTGGTCAACAAAAGCCAAACAGGGTGTTGAGATGGATGGATCATATGAAGGCCCTAGTGCTTACAACTTTCTCCAAAAAAGTGAAGACATTTGTCACAAACTGAATTGGAAGTTTCCAGTCCTTCATCCCTCCACATGAACAGTTTCATGAACAATAAGAACAGAATTTTTAACTTTGATTGTTTACAGTTTAAGTTAATGCTACTTGAGTTATTCTGACATGTCAGTGTGAAATGAAAGGTGTAAAAGTCCAGCAGCAAATTTGATTGGTGCATTTTCTTTTCATAAACACCACAGTGCCTAACTTTTCCTCCCTTTGTGTTTAACCCTCCGTTGCAGACATTTTCATTGCTACATATCTAAAATTGACTCAACATTATCTAATAGTTCCTTTTCAGTAGATTTAATGATATTATTGATTATTAGGTCGAAAGGGAGAAACACTTTTGTTTTGTACTGTGTTTCATGTAGTGTGTTACCACAATACTTTTTATAGTATTAGCTTTTATATGCTCAACCTGATGAGATCACTCTTACTAGATTAGATTAGATTAGATTAGATTAGATTAGATAGAACTTTATTAATCCCTCGGGTGGGTTCCTCTGGGAAATTCGATTTCCAAAAAAGCACAGCACCGACAGAAGTTACAGTTACAGAATATTATATATATATATATATATATATACACACACACACACACACACACATATATATATATATACAAATACAGAGACAATATAAATAAAATATACGAAGGGGATAAATAGAATAAATAGGAATAAAAATAAAAATATAAGTGAATTGCACATTTCAAGTATTGAGGTCTATTGCACTGTTGACTATTTACAAAAGTATTGCACAAAAGGTATTGCACAGTGAGGTGAAGAGGCACTACAGCTTAGTTGTTCCCCCCTCCTTTGTCCTCCTGTTTCCCCTCCCTCTCCCCTCCAGGGAGGAGTTAAACAGTCTGATGGCGTGTGGGACAAAGGAGTTTTTAAGTCTGTTAGTTCTTGTCTTTGGGAGAAGCAACCTGTCACTGAACAGACTCTTCTGGTTGTTAATGGCCGTGTGCAGAGGATGCCTGGCATTGTCCATAATGTCCATCAGTTTCTTTAATGTCCTTTAATGTACTAACACCGCCAATGAACACCTACTGTAAAGTTACAGCAGTGCAAACTACATTAACAGTGGAATTTGCAAGCATTCATTTCTTGATGCAGAAAATGTTGAAATTGTTCTTATGGGTCATTTCATGAGAGGTCATCAAATACTTCCATCTCGACCATCATAGATTCCCCTGAATAAAATAGGGGAAATATATTATTCCTAATAGATATTACACAAAGGTTCAGGTCACCTGTGTCATGATTTTTCTTAAAAACAGTATTTCAAGGGACATAAGAAAAGTCACGTGTTATAATAATGATTTTTATAATACATGTGATATATAGAGTATAAGATTTTATATAATATACAATACATTTTTTGATGCATCAATGCTGCTATTTATCTGAGTGCAAAGAAAGTAACAACCATTGACTGTTGTCTCTGACTGGGGTTTAAGGTTTATCCTGTTAATGTAAAGAAAGTCTGTTTATCATTATTAAATCTTTTATTTAAATAGATAATTTCATTGAGATCAAGCCCTCTTTTTCAAGAGAGACCTGTGTACAAAACATATATATAAAAAATATACAGACAGGCACATGATGATTGAGAAAACATGTCCTATGGTGGAGACAGCATTGAAACACATCATTATTGAAGACATAATTACAGATTGGCTGATTGGCTACAAGGACATTTCCTAAATGTTTTTGCTCCATTGGTTTAAACGACACTAGACTAGACGTCCTGTTTTCCCTCTTAAAGGGAGAAAAATGTAATTGTGGGGGAGTGTGAAATTATGAAAATTCAGTATTGAGAAACATGTTGTCAAAGAGAACAATAAAACAGCATTACAATCTTTTCACAGACCACTTTCAAATAAAATGTAATAACCTTTCTTGTCTAGTTAATGCGATTGATAGGAGTGATCACAAGAGGTGCAGAGTTTTTACCATTATCATTATTACAGGGATTGAAACATGGGTAAAGTTTCTCAGTGAAGGAGCAGCCAGTAAAGGAGTAGATAAAAGCTGCTGCATACACATCATAAAAGGAGACCAGACGCTCCTCATAATCCACAAACACTCCCACTTTATCAGGAGCAGACTGAAAAGAGAGAACGGCTGCTGGGCCAGTACATGCTGTGTACTCGTTGTTGTTCCTCAGCCATAGAGCCCAGAAACCATCCTGAGGCTTTACTGAGTTTCCTCCCTTCCTGTTCACTGACTCTCTGGCGACTCCTAAAATCCAGTCAGTCTTTCCTTTAACCTGAACCTCAAAGTAAAATCTGCCTGAAGAGAAACCCTGCTTTCCTAAAACATTTGCAAAAACTGTGAATCTCTTTGGATTGTCTGATAGACTCTGATTCACATTACCAAAATTCACTTGTTTCCCATCATCAGACAAGATGAGCTCAGGATGTGCTGTATCAGGATCAAGACTCACATCCACAGCATACTGCTGGAGCCTCCTCAGCTCAGCCTTAGCAAGCAGCTTCTTAAAATGTTTTTTGAGTGTCTCCTCCAGCTGAGCCACAGCTCTCATCACAGTCCCCTCATACGTTGGTGGAAGAACGATGACCTCTGTCCAGTCCTTGGTAGGTGGAACAGCTTTCAGAGATGAAAAGTTTTGAACAAAGTGGAGGTGGTCTTCAGAGCGTGAGGCCTGCTTCAGCTCAGAGCTCCTCTTCTTCAACTCGGAGATTTCCTGTTCCAGCTCTTTGATGAGATCTTCAGCCTGTTTCTCTGTTGTTTCCTGTTTGTCTTCTATCTCCTTTATGACCTTCTTCAGGTCTTTCTCAATAAACTCCTTCAGAACAGTGAAGATCTGAACACCTTCTGTTTTCTGTTTGTCTGCAGCATCTTTACTCATCTTCACTGACTCATTGATCTCCTGAATCTTCTGTCGTCTCTTCTCGATCATTTGCTGAATTTCATCATCCATTTTCCTCAGCTCTGTCTTCTTTTCTTCAGATTCTTCTCTCAGAGGAACAAACTCATGAGTCTTGTGGTCTAAAACAGAGCAGAGCGTGCAGACACTTGTCTGATCGGTCTTACAGAACAGCTCCAGATGTTTATCGTGCTTCATACACATCCTGCCTTCCAGGTTCTCCACAGGCTCAATCAGCTGATGTCTTTTCAGACCTTTGACTGTCAGATGAGGTTCTAGGTGAGTCTCACAGTAGGAGGTCAGACACACCAGGCAGGACTTCAGGGCCCTCAGTCTGGTTCCAGTGCAGTAGTCACAGGGAACTTCTCCTGGTTTGGCAGCTTGTTGCTCTGAGCTGCTGCTTGCATTCTGTTGAGCTTCATCTCTGAACTGAGCAACCACCTCAGAGAACAAAGTGTTTATTTCCAGTTGAGGTCGTCTCTTGAACAGTTTGTTACATAGGGGACACTTGCACCTAACATTAATGTCCCAGTTCCGGGTGATGCAGTTTTTGCAGAAGTTATGTCCACATGGTGTGGTGACTGGATCAGTGAACACATCCAGGCAGATGGAGCACAGAAACTGATCTTCAGGTTTCAGATTACTAGCAGCAAACATGTCTGCAGTCTACAAAACAAAAGTAAACATTTTAGGGAAAAATTTATTTATTTTTTTACAGATGTCTGATTCAACGGGTTTAAGAAAAATATTTGGGAATTACCTTGTCTCTCATTTGCAGAAGCTCACAGGTAATGGGACAATTAGGTAAGCTGTTTCATAGCCAGATGAGGTCTGTTCCATCATGATTTCATGAAAAATGAAATTGCTTCATACTGTTGATTCTTTTTTATAGCTTTTCATTTTTCACTTTAGAATATGAGGCCCAAAGAGATGTCAGTGCAACTGAGGGATCCATGATTAAGCTGAACAAAACAAACAAAAACAAACAAACAAATTAAATCAAAGTAGTAGAAAAAACTTCAGGAGTAGGCAAATCAAAAATCTGGTACTTTCACTGAGCAGCTCAGCAACACCAAAAGGCCCGAAAGACTTCAAGATAACTAAAGTGTACGATGATGGAATTATTTCTTTTGTTTAAAAGAAAAAACAACTTCACATCCAACCAAATCAAGAATATCATAGATGAGGTATCACTGTTAAAAAAAGAGATGCTTTTATGAATGTAAACACAGAGGATTTACAAAACTGCACAAATTGCACACACATAATTATGCAAAAAACATTAAAAAAAGTAAGTTTTAATGTCTAGGCCTAGACCAAATCTAGACCAAAACACTAAATTTTGCTCTACAAGGGGTGGAGGGGTGGGGTGGGGGAGGGTATGCCCCCCACACCCCCGTTGCCGAGCTTAAAAACTGGCATCTTTTGCACGTACAAGCACGTGCACATGCACTCTCGTGCACGCGCGTTCACTCATCCGAAAAGGGGCACTTCCGGGCCATGCGGTCCCACTGCGCACGCTCTGTCTTCTCCTAGCGGGATGTGTTTTAATAAGGTTCATCAGCCGCTGTTGGCATTTTGGCTTTTCATGGTAAATTTATACAAACAGGAATTACTTTGTCTTTTTACACTGACACTATAGAAAGGCTTTTGTTGTCAGACAATCGAGCTGAAACGGCAGCGTGTTTTATAAGCAGATTTTCGACGGTTAGTTAAACGACTACCTGTGTGTGTGTGTATATATATATATATATATATATATATATATATATATATATATATGTGTGTGTGTGTAGACTTTTGTGGGATGATCATTCCATCTCACAGCAGCACTCCGTTTTTACAACGAATTCGAAACAAATTCGAAGCGGACCTTTAGTTTTGCTTTTGTTTTGTTTGTTTGTTTGTTTTTCGGGAATATTCCACATTTAACTTTGATGATATTACCTCCCATTTTGCTCAACACAGCCTGCGACAGACTGGTGACCTGTCCAGGGTTTACTCTATGATAGCTCGGATAGGCTCCAGCCCCCCGGCGACCCCGACAAGCATTAATAGAAGAGAATGGATGGACCTTTCTTAACATCAGTCTCCAGTTGAACTAATCTGACATTTCACGTGAAGTAACATTAAGAGAGAAACAGTGCCTGTTAAACACAGCAAATCTGATCAGCTGCACTCACCTGCATTCCAGTTTGTTGTTGAGAGAAAAAAAATTTCCTCTTAATCTTCTTTAGATACGGAGATTGACCTGTCTGCAGCTCTAATTTTACTTTGACTAACTTCCACTTTCATTTCAGTAATTTGATGTTGAATCCTTATTGCTCCGCCTCTTCGGCTTTGTCTTCTTCTTCCGGCTTCAGGCGGGTTTGACACGTGGAGGGCGTTTTGCTGCCCTCCTCAGGTGCTACGAAGTATTTCGAAGCATGTGAGGAGAAATCCTATAGTCCATAGTCTATAGAATTGTCTAGTACGTCGCAAAAAGTTGAATAAAGAAGTTATGGTTTCCAATTAGTCCAAGCTGAGTATTATGTCGCTTACAGTTTTCTCATAGCTCAATTCTAGCAGAAAAGTTATTCTCACCACTCTTAAAGCAGATCTTTAAACAGTAGCATAACAAAACACTGAGACATCTGTGTGAAAGACACTACAACAATCAAAACCTTTTTCACAATTGTGAAAACATGAATAGTCATGCAATCACTTCAACGCTGTAATTAATGAATAAAAACATTTCACCGCCTTTTAAAGACTGGGCATTCAAAATGTTTAGTTTTTTTTTCCCTCAAAACCATTTGCATCAGAAAGCAGACAAAGCACCAACTACTGTGTAGTCCACCAACTTCACACTACATACATTCAGCAACCAGTTGATCAGGTACGCCTGCTCCAGTGGCATGGTTTTTGATGTCACTTAAGCTGGTGTGAGTATTTTAGAAACTGATGATGTCCTGGGATTTTCCTGCACGACCATCTCTACGGTTTACAGGGAATGGTCTGAGAAAATATCCAGTGAGGAAGAAAATTTGTAAATGCTGCCCGTGCTTCTGTGAACTATGAAGCAGATTATTTGTTTTTTTGGTTTTTGTTGTTGTTGTTTTTGTATCAAATCTATTGTCTTTTGTTGTTGTTGTTGTTGTTTTTGTATCAAAAGCTAAATTATTGTTGAATAGTTTAAACTTTTTACTTAAGCTAATTGTTTAAAATGCAGCATTTTCTGCAGCAAGCATTGATTTTATCACTTACTATAGCAGATTTACAGAATAACTAGAGGTTATGGTCTGAATAAAGAAGAGATATAGCATTTGAACTACTGACTGTCAAAGTATAACCTGACATTCTAAAGAGACCAAAGCCAGCAATGAATCAGTTATATTAATATGTTGTTGGATTGGTCTTCTGCTATTTCTACTCAGTAAATTTAAATTGGCTTAAATTAGATTAAGGGCTGCAGTGAGTGTAGTCAGCCCATTCAAAAGCAAAGACGAATGCAGGCGTAATCCCAGCAAAGTCTTTACAGAGGGCCATGAGTGCCAAAATGAATCAAACAAATACATTATTAAATAATTTATGAAATGTGTCAATAATGATCACAATTTTAATGGCATCCTAGCAATGGCGTGTCCAGCGGGGTGGCCTGGGGGGGCACAGGCCACCCCCAAACCAGACTGGCCACCCCAGGTGCCACCCCAAAGGCAAAACAATAAAATTCAATCAAATATCAAATGTCCGATTATGTTTTCACGGTGACGCTCAGATATCCGAGTGTAAGTGAATGCAGCATCGCTTCTGCGCTATGCGCATCACGTTAGCAAAGGTAGGAGAGCCAAGCGCGAAAGATGGCACTGCAAGAAACAATTTTTCGGTGAAAGAAAATGAGGACAGAATAAATGTCCCGGTAAGTAATATTAAGTTTGTTGAGTTTAGTAAACTTCGGTGAAATTAGAATACCAAGGAAAAAAATAACACTTAAAGAATTATTGCAGCCGTCGAATATTTCAGACAGTATGCTACTGAGGGCAGCTAACATAAGAGTTATGCGTTATAAGATATAATCTAAGTCGTAACATTGCTGTATGGAGCTGCAGATTTGGTTGCAGGTTAACATAGCTGGACTGGCCATCGGGCATACCGGGCATATCCCCAGTGACTTATTTTTTATTTTTTTGTAACGGCATGAACAATGAGAGGTGGTGGATTGGCCAGATGCAGGTCGATGTGTAGAAATAAGTCCGTTGTTTGGTGGTGGCTATGACGGGGCTTCCACAGAGGCAACAGGTGGATGAGGGAAGGGGAGGCAGGAGGAGAGACCCGAAGCAGCCACCAGTCCGAGTGTCAGGTGAACTGAACTTCAGGTAAGAAGTTATGACCTGCAGTCTATCTGGGTCAGATATAAACCAAGTTTAGGTGGAGTTTATTTTCATGTTGCTGACTTTTTACTGTCAGTTGCAATAACTCATACTGCGTTCTAGCCAGTTTGACGGAGTTTTTATACAGCTGGGTGGGTGCTATGATGTTACTGATAGTGAACTTTATTTTATTCATAAGGTTAGTAGAGTTGCCAACGGCTCCTTAAAAAAATGGAATGGTCCCTCATTCAGAGAAAATATTACGCGTTTCGTGTTGAGCTGAGAAGAGACGCAGTTTGTCCCGGACTTTCGCTATAATGAAAAAAAGACACAAAGCTGGATTTATTCTGTCTTTACGCTGCACAGCTGCCTCTTCTCTCATTCTCTCCCCCTCCCTCTCCTGTTTCTACTTCAGTCATGAAACTGATCGATGATCAGCTGATCGTCTCTCTTGTTTATTTATCACCCACTTTGCACCAGAAACAGGAAACCAGCAGATGTTGCGCTAAACAACAGCAGCACGTTTAAGCTTGATCGACTGTTGTTAGAATGTATTTAATATTAATTTCTAGTATCAGCTGATGTTTGCTGGAGCCACAGCTGTAAAGCTGCTGGTCATGATGTCTGTTTAGATATGTGGTGAGAGGGAAACATGAAGATGAAACCAGGAGATGTCCTTACTGAACCATCAGAGCTGAACAGGTGATGGAGAAACAGGTTTACCTTTTAGGTGACATGAATGAGTTGAAGGGAAGTTATGAACTGTTTCTGAGAGACAAATAACACCAGGATCCTTTTTTACGTAGCAGACAGCTGGTAACTGTGCAGGGGCGGGTCTAGCAAAGTTTTGCCAGGGGCCAGGTAGGGTATTAACAGGGAAAGGTGGGCACAAAGAAATACTTTTCTTTCTTATTCTCATTTAAAATACCTAGTTTTTATTAAATAATTATCTAAATCTTACAACCAAAGTTTTTATCTGACGTAAAATGTATAGAAATAATACATATACCAACAAGACTGTACATCACTGTCACAACAGGGTTTGTTTTCAGTCAAAGTCTTTATGGCTTTACTACCTGGTGGGTCGGTCTGTAGTAAAAATGCCCAATTTTTTTGTCCCAGTCCAGCCCTGCAGGTTAATACTGGCAGTGTCACCATGCCAGCTGACTGTATTTTATCATCAGCCAGTGTTGTTCTTTATCAATATTACCAAAGTTTACGATAAGGCAGCATAGAAAGTATTTACTTGCTTTCAGGTTTCATTCAAATGTTAGTCTTTTCAGTTGTTTCCCCACTTTTTTCCTGTTTCAAAATCAAACACCAGTTTGTGAGAAGATTATCTTCTTTTTTTAACAGGCAGATAAAGTTTTGCATTGGCATTGGCTAATTTGTCAATTGTTTGTTACAAATGTTCGTATTTTAATTTCAAAAATGTTTTTGCCCAAAACATATGTGCACTATATGTCAGTAAAAATACTATGCAAATATTGTTGTCCTTGACTGCTGAGTAAACACTGACAAAGCACTGATTGTATCTCTTGTACTTTATCAACGCAGTATCTAAAAACTTTGCACCGTAGTGGTTAAAATCTCATTCTAATAAGAGTTAAAAGTGCATTTGGTTATTAGGTTTATAGGATTATTGAATTATGGTTAAGGGTTGGTAGAATTTTTTTTTAAAACATTATCTGCCAATTAAATCTGCCACCCTTCTCCAAATCTGTGCCCCTACCTGGCCCCCCAACAAAAATTTTCTAGACACGCCACGGCATCCTAGCCCCTGCACTGTCAGGATTTATTACATGCCATGTGAGCACAAGCAGTATAATGTTTTCATCTTACCAGACCTCAGTTTCCTGTTAAATAGAGAATCACATGTATCAGTTTCACACAGTTCAGTACAACAGTCTGCAACTTCAGAGACACTCTTAGATCTTTTCTTCAGAAACCCAAGACACAGCTGAAACCAGCAACGCATCTGAAAATCATGGAAATGCGCTACAGGAATCCAGAAGAAATACCAGGTAATCACAGAGTGTTGAAAAAGGGGCAAAGGTCAGAAAGCCTAAAGAGGACCAAACCCTTAAGTTTAATAACATTTATTCTTTATTATGTTTTTTATTAAGTTTATGCTGTTACAGTATTGTAATATTTTTAATTTAAACCTCACAAACTAACCCATACTATAATAAAAAAAAAGAAAGAAATCATGTAAAACAGCTACATGCAGGTGTTTCAGTTGACAAAATTACAAATGTTTTTTTTAAATTTACTTTTGTGAATCTAGTTTTAGGTTTTAGTTTATTTTAGTTAGCATAATAATCTTCATTTGTGGTCACGGCTTAAAAAGAAAAACGCAAATTTTAAAAAGCAGTCACTGCAGGCAATATTACAAGAAAGATACAATGAGAAATTCCCCATTTAGTATCATTATTCAGTATTTTTAGTCAAAATCAGTCTGTGAAATAGGTATAAACCCTTTATAACTGCATACATTTTAAATTCTCAGGACAGAAAAGCCAATACATAACATCGACCTTTCAACTTTGAAGATGTATTTCCCAAACAGCTCATATATGAGCATACTAAGTAAAGCCATGCAAAACCTTTTTACCTTCATACTATAAAATGTGCCCAAATTATAGCTCTTGAAAGTACGGGTGGGTAGGTTGAAATTTAGTGGTTTTAATTTTTCTGTCATTTTTGAGCCCCCAAAACTTCTTAAGTATAGGAAATAGACAAATTCCATTTTTCTAAAATGGAAACAAATTTAAACTCTGTTAAAAAATGTAACCAAATAAATTTTGGCCAGCTTTGCTACAATACTTGCTACAATTAGCTCAAATTTCAGTTCATTAAGTAAGACCAATAACTCGATTATAAAAAAAATTCTCACCTTCCAAGGAGACAAACTAAAAATGCCTTCTCATTTTATTTTACATTACTGTATTTAGTTGTATTTAACTATTTCAATCTTTTTGCATTTAA